TTCACTTCAGTAATGACAGAGTAGGTAACTCACACTAAAAATTCTTGTGTGTGTGGTACTGGAGATAAACCCAGGGACTATACACTGAACTTGGCTCCAGCCCTTTTAAAATTTTGAGACAGGGTCTCACTAAGTTGCTAAATTGCCCAAGTGGGGTCCAAAAGTGTAATCCTTCTGCCTTAGTCTTAGAGCGTGCAGGGATTACAGGCTTAGACTAAATATTTTAAACACCTCCTTGGGGAATCAGAGAATACGGGGATGAAGAATAACCAAGCCCGGACTGGGGATTTAGCTCAGTGGCACAGTGCCTGCCTAGCAAGCGTGAGGTCGTGAGTTCGATTCCTGGTACTGGAAAAAAAAAAAACCAAGAAAAAATAAAAATAAAAAAAAGAATAATCAAGCCAACCTATAGAAGCAGGTAGAACTCTTGCACTGGAGAGCATGTCTTGTCTCCAGAGGGTAAGCGCTACTTATCACAGCCCGAAAAGATAAGGAGCTTTTTGTTTGCAGTTAAGATTCTGAAAGGCTAACCCTCAGAATAAACCAGAACCCAGCAAGGCTTTTAGATCAGGGTCAGCAAACTCTTTCTGGAAAGGGTCAGATGGTAAATATTTTAAGCTTTGCAGAATAATAGACAGCATTGTAGATATTAAATAGGCGCTTACATAACACAAGCAAAAGCAATTTTTTTCAATATTTGAAGATTAAAATATAATAATATTTAAATATAATTTTTGGTAGAGATCCACTAATGAAAAAAATGGAATTCCGTTTTGTGGGCAACATTTCATTCACCTAGAGTTCAGAGTTAGCACTCACTGTCAGCAAACCCATTACACACACGTGTGTACGCGCACACTCCTAAGTGACATTCTCAGCTCATAGGAGCCAACACCCAGTGGACCATGATTTGCAGATTCATGGCCAATATAAACTGCAGTGCGTGGTTAGGTGGTAAAAATACAAAGAGAGGCAAAGAGGTAATTCCACAGACAGGACAGTCAGGGAAGGAACTTTCAGCAAGGAAAGAAAGAGGTTCTGACCAGGAGAGCACATTAGGGTACTTCCAGTGTACAAGCCAATGTGTTTTTCTTTTCTTTTTTTTTTTTCCCATGTGTTCTGAGACAGGGTCTCAAGATCCAGCCCAGCCTGGCCTTCACAGCAATCCTGTCTCAGCCTCCTGAGGGCTGGGATTATAGGCATGCGCCACCACATCCAACTTCTTTTCTGTTTTCATTATTGGCCACTGAACTCAGAGCCTCACATATACTAGGCACACTATCACTGAGCTACAACCCAGCCCCCAGCTTTTTATTTCTTGATCTGAATGGTTATATAGGATGCTCCTTTTATAATAAATTATTAAGTAACACGCTTATATTGCATGAGTTTTTTGGACATGTCCATATTTCACAATAATTGAAGTTTTTAAGAAATCTTGACTCTTTACCACATAGCTACAGTATCTTCAGTAAGCTGTTGCTGAAACCTCAGTTTCCACTTCTAAAATACATGGTAATACCTACCTTATTGGGTTATTGTGAGAGTTACCTGAGACCATCCATAACTATGGTTCATTGTGTACAGTAATTTAGCTCAATGCTACTTAAAATAATCACACCAAACCCCTACCCCAACTCCGTGGATTTGAAAGCAGTATCATTTTTTTTTTTTTTTTTTGCAATATCATTTTTCTATGGATAGGGGTATGTATGAAGCAAGCAACTTGGCACCTGGCATAAAGTAACACACAAATAAATAGAAGCTATTATTATTGGTCCCCATGTTGGGCTAATCAAAACAATTTGGACCAATCTAAACTCCCCTCCGAATTTCTAAAACGTATTTGCACCATAACTGCATTTCCCTGAAAATAACCTAGTGGGAAAGTGCTGGTCATTACCATGGTGACGGCCAGCCTCAAGCAGATGATTATACCTCCCTGTTTTCCTGCTCGATGACTACTCCATAATGGCAGGCAAAGCAAGGTGACTGGGGCTGTCATTTTTGATCTCTAGTTTTCAAG